GTGCGTGAGGGGGCGGCCGGGCTGGGCGGCGCGCGGGGAAGCTCTTCGCCCCTGTGCGCGGCTGCACGTAGTTATTACGAAATGCCGTTATGAGGTGCTGCCCGCGACGAGGGCGGAACCCGTTCCAGAAACCTTTTCCTTGGAAAGAGGATGGAATTTTTCGTATTTTGACGTAGGGTTTTTATTTTCGTCAATTTTGTTTTGAAGAGGTGTTCTCTGCAGGGGGTACTGTAAGAATTTTTTAAGGAGGTCAGTCTTGCATTTCGGTTCCGTAACTTAGTTGGCAAAACTGATCGGCACTTTCTTACTGGAAAGTGCCATGATGCTAATTCTAACGATTTTATGTAGACATTTGTTTTAATTAGAGAATACGTAATAATGTCGTCCTTACTTATCATTACGGCCTATTGTATGCAACTGAGTAAACGTAAGAATGTACGGCAAGCGGGGAAGTCTCGTTACCGCAGTAAACAACATTTATACTTTCATCTTAAATATGCTTTTAAATTTTAACTGATTAATCGTTACAGTGGTATTGGTAAGTATTGTTGTGTCTAGCTTGCAGCTGGGGAAAGAGGATCCAAGGTTCACCTTTCTAAAAGCACATATGACCAAGATGCGGTGGCCCGAAGAAATGCCGGGTACCTGCTGCTGCCAGTCAGTTTCAGAAGTCAGGCGTGATGGTTTACACCTATAAAATGAAGCGACCAAAACAAGTGATTAACTTCTGGAAATAGTTTCAATGACCTCTCCAGCCTCGCAAAATAAGTCAGTGGTAAAACTGGAACTCAAATTTGGGAAGACCTGTATGTGTGGACATACTCAAATTGGCAATTCTGTACTTTTAAGAAGTAAGTTCATACAACCTAAACAAATTACTCTTACAAAATTTCACATAGGCTCAATTATTAAATACAAGTTCTTGCTCTCTAAACTTTTACAGTACCATTCCGAAGTCAAAAATAAAAAATCCCTTTCTTTGTTCAACTAGTTTTAAAAGAACAGAAATCCCTCCAACAACCTAGGAGCCTTAACAGACACAGGTTTCTTAGGTTGCAGTCCTGCATCTTGCACCATCTTCCTTTTTGTGCTTGCACTCCGCTTTGCCTTCCCTTCTGCTGAGCTGCCAAACCAGATGGGAAGAACAAAATGCGGTGTCTTAAACCTCTAACGCAACTGGTAAGCTTAGTGGAAGGAGAGCGTGAAGGGGATGGGCCAGAAAAGAAAATAACTTTATTGGCACTACTTACCTGTCTGTGGTAGCCAAATATATATTTTGGTGGTGCCTGGTGAACAAAGCAACAGACCGTGATGTTCTGGAGTCCTGCCTCTATCTCTGTAATTGACCCTAAGGACAGAACGCGTAGACGTTGCATTGGTACAAAGCAACAGTTTTACAAGCAGAGACATATGCTGTGGTTTTCTTTCTAACCAACTGGTGTAGTAACTTCTTTCTGGAGTGTTCTTTGGAAGGCAGAGACAATTATTCAACTGAGCAATAGGAAAAGGGATTGGTTAATTGCCAAGAATGCGTACATCAATCGGTAATTGCGAGGAACCTTTACTTGTAAAAGAATGCTGGGTAGCGTGTGGGATAACTGTTGATCTTCAGTTATAGAGTCCCTTTAATTTCCAACAGATTCAAAGATCTCAAACAACTGTCCTGTAAAAACAAGGGGGGAAAAACAATCCTGCTTGGCAACAATGAGGTAAGTTGAGAGGTTTTTTTAGACTGAAATAATTTACATTCATATTTTCAAGCATGGTATATGCACTGTGGGAAAAAATGATCAAAACTTCTGTGAAAAAACACACGGATACTCTCTCAAAATTTGTAATTGATGGGGCTGTCCTGGATCACTTAATTTGATCAGAATTCCCTGCTGAAAGCCTAGAAACTACTTCTGGAGTAACATGAGTAATATGTATAGATGAGTGACTGTTTAGTAAGTATCTGTTCTCCTAGAGAAGCTGGCGGCTCACGGCTTAGACAGGTGGACTCTGCGCTGGGTCAAAAACTGGCTGGACGGCCGGGCCCAGAGAGTTGTGGTGAATGGAGTTCAATCCAGTTGGCGGCCGGTCACGAGCGGTGTTCCCTGGGGCTCAGTTTTGGGGCCGGTCTTGTTCAATATCTTTATCAACGATCTGGACGAGGGGATCGAGTGCACCCTCAGTCAGTTTGCAGACGACACCAAGTTGGGCAGGAGTGTTGATCTGCTCGAGGGTAGGAAGGGACCTGGACAGGCTGGATCGATGGGCCGAGGCCAACTGGATGAGATTCAACAAGGCCAAGTGCCAGGTCCTGCACTTCAGCCACAACAACCCCATGCAGCGCTACAGGCTTGGGGAAGAGTGGCTGGAAAGCTGCCTGGCGGAAAAGGACCTGGGGGTG